GGGGGGGGGGGGGTGTGTTATGGCACAGCAACAGCTGGAGTCATTCTTTTGCAATCTGCCCGTGTATTATTGCACCCAACTCTGCTGGTTTGATTTTTAACAGCTGAAAAAACAGCTGTTAGCTGTCTTGTGAGGGGGAGTGTGTGCTCTCCTGCCATCTGTGCTTCAAGTGGTATCTTGAGGCTATACATTTTTATATGTTTTCTCTCATTTTCCTCCTCAGCCAAAGCACTCTCAAATCAAGAGTACCCCTCTGTGTACAGATGCAGGACAGCACATGTGCATAGAGAGCCATTCCCAAGGACTGACTGAAGATGGGAATTCATTTCAGCTGGCAGCACTGAGCTGCTCATGGAATTAGACGCCATGGCATTGCTCTTTTCAGGGGGGGAAAAGCCTTCTTTGATGTGTTTAAGCATCGCTAAGTCACTAGCATCACTGTGGCATCAAATGAATTTTAAAAGAGAAATCTTCAAAATTTGAGCCTGCAAAGCAAGCCCCATCTCTGGCTTCGGTGATTTCACCAAGCCCTGGCCACATTTTTCAACCTTCTCTCTGTAGCCATGAGGACAAGAAACCTGCCTTAAAATAAGCTGAGCTCTGCACCAGCTTCCAGAGTTTTGCTGATGTCCATTCTCTTATGCAGGCCACTCCCCTAATGAAAGGTAAACACTCACCTAGTTCATCCCAGAGCTGCCGGCACTTGTCAGTCATGCCCGCTCCTTGCTGCCGCCACAGTGCCAGGCGCGGATCTTGCAGGAACTGCTCTGTCATCAGGATGAGCATTCGTGCCCCATTGGAATCCCGCATTCTCAGCATTTCCCGCACCTGGGGCAAGAATTCATGAATGGAGAGTGGAAACTTAAGGTTTCCAGAAAGTAACCCTTTCTCTCCCAAAGCATTGAGGAGTCCCTTATCCCAAACACCTCATTCCACCTATGGACACAGCCCAGTTCCCCTTTATGACCATGCAGAAGGCCAGCAGACAGCTCAGCACACAAGAACTTCAGAACAGCTACCTGATTTCACCCAGATGACAGGCAGATTCCTGGCCATCCTCTGCCTGCATTGTTCCATTTCTCCAAATGTCAGCAATCCAAGACCTAGCAAAAGCTCTACCTTAGGAACTGAAAAGTTCCCCAAAGGCCCTGAACCTAGAGAGAGAGGACGAAGGAATATTCTAACTCTTCACTACAAGTAGTGGTAACTCCTCCAACAAACCCAGAATCTCTAAGCACTCTAAGATGAGTAACAGAAGCTTTTCTCACTTGCTCTCTTTGGAGGGCCAGTAAGGTGACTGTGTACTTGAGAAGGCCCCAAACCTCTAGAATAAGTTGCTGCAGGCTTTTAGGAAGGCACTAAAGATTCATTCCTTTAATCTGGCCATCTCAGGCTGGGTTGTAACTGCAGTTATGCTGGAGGATCCATCTACCATCACAGACTAGTGTTTGTTGCTTCTTGGAAAGCTTGCCATTTTTACTCCTGCTTTGCCTATATATTATATGAACGTTATTGTTGTGCTCTGCCTTGGGACGGCCCCAACCCTGAAAGACTGCCCCACAGGACAAGGTGAGGCAGTGGAAATATCACCACCCCACTGTCCTGGCCCCACAGCAAGAGGAGATGTGTTCCTACTCCAATAAAGGCAGTAACACGGTGCAGAGAATGCCCACAATAAAGCAGGATGGTGCAGGCCACTGCTACTCTTTACCTTATTGAACATGGACTGCAGTTGCTTGCTTGCCCCGTAATAACCACCGTTTGAGAGCAACTGCTTGACTTGTTCTTGGATCTGCTCCTCATCCAGGTGCCAGCAGTTTGCATCTTCAATGCCAGCACCAGCTGTGGGGTCTGGAGCACCTGGGAGGAAAGGATCAAAAATTCACTGCATCGTGACTGCAACCCGCTGGGCTACCAAGCGTACTTTGCATCTTTGCAGAAGTTAACCAGATTTAGTTTCCTGTCTGGGACCTTTCAGCAACAGTATCACAGTGCAGGCAGTATCATAGTGATCATTCTTTTAACTTCACTGGTGAGAGAGGATATTGGCAATTCTAGACCACGATCCCTTCCATGGATGGTTTGTGAACATGCACATGCACAGAACCTCAAGCAGCAGCAGTGCAAGATGTCCTGCTGCTTCCCCACATTGCCCTGCTGCACATCCCCACCTCTTGTCCTGAGGGCTTCCGCAGAGTGAAAGATCAGGTGGCTGGGCTCTCGGGAGAACTGGCCAGGCCCCAAGTGCCTCACTCTGGGGAGGGACCCTTTCTCAGACCACGGGATGGTGGGCAGTGTGCCAGAAGCTGGCCCATGCAAGCAGGGAGCTCTGATGAGCCAATGAATAGGTCTGAAACTGAGATCACTCAACGGACCAGTGAGTGAGAGAGAGAGTGCGAGCGAGTGAGCGCTGAGATGACTGGTCCACCAGCAGAAAGCTACTTCTGTCTTTTTGCTGTGAGCACAGAAATGAAGGGCATCTGTTGATCATCAAGTTTGATTGCCACACATAATAGACTTGCATTAACAGTGCATAATAAGAATAGCAGTGTGCACTGCAGTGTACCAATGATACTAATTCTATCTCTTTACAATACCTTCTATTTTGTATGTGAGAGGCTTTGTCCCTGTGCTGCTGCAAGCAGAATGCTGTTCTTGGCAAACTCCATTTTTAGGCTTAGCTCAGCCACCAGTGAGGCAGTGGGTTCTGGTCCCTTGATGGCAGCTGCATGCCCGGTGGCCACCTCCATCCTTTGGATGGAAAGGGGCAAGCAACAGTGGATACTGACAGCTGTCCCTACAGCCACCCCAAGCCCCTCCAGGCTGGCTCCTGCATTTTTTCCTGCAAGTGGAGCTTCATACCGTGCACACGATTAATCTCAGAGCCAAGCAGCAGGATCTCATCGGCAAGCCTTTGAGCTGTCGGAAGCACCTCTGTGTGGTGGGCACTGATCAGGTACTGCACAAATTTCTGCAGCTGGTCCCGGTTCATTTGTGACAAGGTCTCAGAGATGGGCAGTCGTAATTCCACCTGGCGGGCATGCCGGATGCGATGCAGGGACAGTGCCACGACATGGGCACAGTAGAAGATGTCGCGGTTGTCACAGGCGCAGCTCACTGATGTGATCTTGCAGCGGTCAAAGCTGATGGAGACATGGTAACTGTGTTCAGGTTCACTGGGGCCTGCCGGCTCTGTCACAATGCCACTCAGATGGAAACCTGCATGTGCAGAAGAGGTGTGAGGGACAGCCAGTGAGAAAGCAGAATAGTTGCTCCTGCCCAAAAGGACCTGCAGACCTAAAGAGCTAAGGTGAGGGAGGGGCAAGCATCTTGATTATTAAGCAGGAGGGTGGGTGTGGACTAGACCAGGTTCTGGGGCTGAGGGCTGAGTGTGTTGAAGCCTCAGAGAAATGAAGGAACCAATGCCGCAACCCTGGACTGAGAAAGGCCATGCCACAAAAGCCGACTCCATGCCCTGGCTGGCAGGGAACCTTCAGAGGCACCAGCCATTTGCCTAATCTGTCCCTGATACCATCTTTGCAGTGAACAAGAACGGGGAGACCAGCACAGCAAGAATCTGCCCTCTTAACCCTCATTTTGGTCTATGCAGTTAAGCAGTACTGGTAGTACTCAGATGCTGATGACCCTAATCTGGAAAAAAGGAACCTTAGCAGGACTTTGGGGAAACAGCTCAGGGACAGGACAGCCAATGATTCTCAGCAAAAATTTGGAGCAGTGTACATCAGGACCCCACCTGCTTCCTCCCAAGCAGAAGTTTTTAGCCCTGGCTTGAGAGCTCAGCCCAGCCCTGCTCTGAACTGCCCCTTTAGCTTAATACTTCTGGAAAGGGTCAGTAGGGTGGTGCACACCTGAGCATGAGAGGTGAAGGGAGAGTCTTCAGCAGGGTGTCAAGGGAGAGGCAGTCCAACTGCACTGACTAAGCAGGTGAGTCACACGTGACAAAAGCACGCACCCTCCTCACAGAACCGGTCCGGCCCACAGCCACACCTGCAGCCCTGCTGCGTCACTGCCAAGGGCAGCCACCAAAGGATACCCTGCTGGTACTGCCAGCTTGGTAACGTGGACCAACAGATGACTCATCACAACCGCTAAGCCTGAACCCATACCTAGCAACCTGCAAGTCACCCCTTGAGCAGTTGCTATAAATAGAAAGGGGAACCTGGAGAGGCAAACAGAGCCAGAACCTGCCAAGAAGCAGCCCGGCATCCCTAACAGAGCTCTGTGAAATCACCCATGCTTCCTTCTCAGCAGAGTCCAGCCTTAATAGAATGTGCCAGGTTAAGAACAAAGGAGTCTGTGATGCACATGGGAATGCCTGCAGATAGAGTGAGCTATGGGGCTCAGTAACAGCCTATCTAGAAAGCCCTGGTATCAGGGATTGGACGTACTGTTCCAGGCTTCCAGTCCTCCCCAGAATAGGTCTGTGGCAAAACAAGTGCCATGACATAAATAAGTAAAACTATGATATAGCCACATTTAGAACATGCATATTTGTAAATCATGGCAAAAATGCACATCCTTACTGTGAAGGAGGTACCTCTCTGCTCTTGCTTGGCTCCTCCCACCAAAGCAAAGGGGTAAAATAACCTGAATGTGGAATCTGGTCATGCACACACTTAGCTTCCCAGTTCCTTGTTCTCAAGACAAGCCAGGTTTTGTAAGCAAGACCAAACTTCATTAGCCATCCTTACCTGTAAAGGGATACATGATGGAGGCTTACAAAATGATGGAGACACCTTTTCTTTGTCTCACAATTCAGACAATGGAATTGTTAGCCATGATGGATTGATATAATGTGCTGCTTCACTTATAAATCTCATTAGGATGAGTGCCACACCTTTAGATGTCTTTCAAAGCAAATGCAAAAGAAGAGAACTGTGGTATTTAAAGGAAACTTTAATGCACAGAGGCAGCCTCCTTCAGATGCTAAAAAGAACGGCAAAATTCAATCTTCCAAGAGCAGCTGATCCTCTGGGAGGAGGAAATGCCAGATGAACAGCAAACTGGCCTGATCCAGGAAAGCAGGTCTTACGCTCTTTGACACACAGGCTGCTTTGGTCTGTCATTACCATACTGCTGACAAGGAGCAGGGTAGGACCAATGTGTGGAGAAGGGAGTTCTCTCCTCTTCTTACCCACCAGCAATCCTGTGAGGTAGATTAAGTTGGCCGCCCAAATTCAGCTATATGAGCTGTGTGGCTAAGTGAGGAAACAATCTGGTTCTCCCCTGCTTATGTACAGTACCCCATCCCTGAATGCCCCACACAGCCTCAGTCTCACAGAGGACCAAAATAGCAAACATCTTGACAGGAACATTAGCTGACTGGAGGTTAATAATTTAACTAGATTCGAGAAACATAACATGTCACTATAACTTTGGAGCTCAACATCACGGCCAGATGAGGGCAGGGCAAATATGAGCGGACAAGGGGAAAAAACCTCAGAAGAAAATAACAAATACAATGAAAGGCAGCATGGATACATCACTTCAGTCCCCCTTCTTACTCCTGCCCAGCAAAAAAAGTAATTTTCTAAATCAGAGTATTGCAATGCACCTCATCTTGCTGGGTTTAACAGTTAGCCACCCAGGATATTGTTTCAATTAGACAATATGGGCCTCAAAACAAAACAAAAAAAACTTCTGTGAAAGCTCACTTTACACCCATATTGCTTTGGTTCTAAAGTGTTATGGTAGCCAAACATTTTATAAAAGTAGCAGCATTTTCAAAGACAGTTCTTGTTTGAAATCCTAAATGCACTTACTGACTGGGATGAGAATCCACTGTGCGTTGCACGAATGTTGTGCAAACCTAGATCAATTCTCACAGGTGGCTTGTTCATGAGTGACAAGCCACCCTGACAATGGATGGATTGTTCTAGGGGTTGTTGCACTGTAATAGGAACCTGGGTGATTCACTCCATCATGGGTACCAGGTATTGGCTAATGAGCCACTGGCAAAAGACCCTCTGCTGTTCTTGCCAAGGCTGACCAGGCACCTGCCAGAGCCGGCCACCATGCAAGTGACAAAGTGGCACTTGGAGTGGCTGGCTTCGCCTTGCTGGCCTCCCCAACGTGACTGTGGGCAATTTCAGCTTATTGTGGCATTTTGTCATTCACCTTCCTACCCCCCTCCCCCAGAGAGTATAAATTTCATCTTGACAGTCAGTTTTCACAACCCCTATTTGGCAACAACTGACAGTTATTCAAAATGCCCAAGTAGCACATTGGATGGGCTTTCAGTGGGAACAGCCAATTAAAAAGTAATGTGCAGCCATGGCGCAAATAAACTCATTCAATTTTATTTTTTTTTCAGCCATGTACAGACACAATTGTAGAGGTATATAGTTCTGTGAATGTGGCAGTATGAAGCCTCAGCCGGGCCCATGTTCTCAAGGGTACCTTTCATTCAAGTACAGCAGGTACCAATCCTAGAGACTGACACACACAGGCTCCAAATAAGGTTTTTCTTTTTTTCCTTTGCTTTTTCTTGAAAGCTGTCAAAAGGCAAGCAAGAGTCTTTCCCAAGCTCTGTTAAAACCCCCATTTAAAGTTAGCTGTCAAAACTCCTCCCCACTCTAAACAGTGGGTGGGATGCACTTTTGCACTTTCCCGAGCAATTAGATTTGGGAAAAAGTGGAATTTGTGCCACTCCCTGAGAACTTTCAGGGGAAAGAAAAGATCTCACTGCAAAAGGAAAGTAAATTGCACCACCCCTTTTCATAAACTTGGACTGCTTGTGCCTTAGTTTTACCTTAATGGCTTCTCTTTTGACAGCTTTCAAAAGAAAGGAAAGGGAAGAAAATGCGTATTTGCAGGCTTTTTGGGGTCAATGTTTAAAGCTGATACTTGCTGCACTTTGGCAGCAGGTACAACCCCTATCCCCCACCAAACACCAACTCAGCTGAAGCTTTAAATTCCCACACTAATAGAATGGCGCACACCTGCAATTGCATAACCATGGCTAAAACAAATAATAAAAAATAAAACAAATGTAGTCATGCCACTGTACACTGCACGCACACACGTTTTACATACTTTGCCAGCCACTGACAGTCCCTTCAAGCTGCTGCAAGTGGCTGTTAAAACGGGGACTGTGAAAGCAGGCTGCCCATGGCTTAAAGGGTCAATGGCAAAAAAGCCACACTGAGCTCATCTCAGTTCATGATTGTGACTGGGAGAGGGAGACACAGCATTGTCAGGATATCAATGGGAATACAGGGGGAAGGAGGGAGAAGGAAGGTGCAAGCAACCTTATACTGAGCATTACTGTCACAGAACAGCCACTATGCTTAATGCCAGGATGGGGTGGTGTGATGTGTGGGTCACAGTTGAGATTACAGGTTAGGCTACAGTCCTAAATTCTCTTACTGAGTATGATCCATTAAAGTTAATGGAATTTGGTTCTGAGTAAGCATTCCCAGTACTGGGCTGAAAATTACTCCCTTCCCTGAAGCAGGGTATTTCCTGACAAACATATACTGAAATAATTCAGATACACTCAGAGGCTTTTGTCACTTAGCACATTGTTACCCGTTTCATAGGATACAATCATCCACAACAAAACAACTAAGGAGCATGTTCAATTAAAAGCAGTAAAATGTGTGAAAATGGAAACTTCTAGGCGAGGGGTGTCCAACCTGTGGCCCACGGGTCAAATGTGGCCCAGGATGGTGATGAATGCAGTCCAATACAAAATCATAATCTTACTGAAAACATTATTAGATATTTTTGTGATTTTTTGGTATCTCAATGAGCAGTGCATGAGCAAGAACTTTGCAGACAACAATGTTGTATTGCGATGCCATGTAAAATAAACATATGTATGCTCTCACTATTTGTATGTATTCATGGCTTCAGTTTTACGGTGATGTGCATCTTCCAGTGTGTTATCTTCCAAGTGCAGACAGTCAAATTAACAACATGAGATGTTACATGTGCTTGTGGTGACTTGGTGAGTGAAACACAGCTATTATCAATGATATTTCAACCTGCACTTGCAAACAATTTTATACATTTCAACATGTTGGCTAAACACAGTCCTGTGAACAGCAAAAAATATGCAGCCTTGTTTTTCGATTTGATATAAGAATTTGAAAACAGATTTCAAGATTTCTGGGAAAATAATAACTATTTTGGTATATTTGTGACTGCATTTTCAGCTGACATAAATATGTTACCTGTCAATTTTCAAATGGAAT